ATTTTTTATAAAAATATATACTAATATGAATGCATACAATATTATTATTTTATATTACATTAATATATATATATATATATATATATATATATATATATACAGCAAGAAAAACAAAATTACCTCAACATAGAGATAGTCTATTTCAAGCCGTTATGTACGTTGTGATGATAGCCGCGTACAGACCTGGATTATATACCAACGAATCGATTTACCTGTACTCTATATATATATATATATATATATATATATATATATATATATGTGTGTGTGTGTGTGTGTGTGTGTGATATAATTAGGTGGTAATTGTTCTTCTAAAAATGTTTTATTAAAAAGGAGAGACAGGGTGTTTTTCCAATGTATCTATTGTTTTATTAAAAATGCGAATGGCCTCACGAAGAGAGATCCTATACCATCTGGTTTATGTAAAATTGGCAAAAAATCACCTTTCGATAAGACAACGTTTCAAAATATTCTCCTAAAGCATGTTAAAATTATCTCGAGTTAAAAACTAGGAAGAAATTATGACTTGACCGCCTGAATCTCCTGACATCTTTCCCGTTGATTCAGTATGGGATGAATTTGATGGGAGAGTTCGAATTAAATACCAAATCCGTGAGAGTGAGCTTTTTTTAGTGCATGACGAATACTTCGGAAAGTTTGACATCTACTTTTTTTTTTCAAAAACTGTTGGAAAGAAAGCCGAGTAGTTGTAAAGTAATAATTAAGCTACTTAGTGGTTTTATTGCCGAAAAATAATCCCGCTCTTGTATGATAATCTTTAAAGTTAATCTTTTGTTTTGTCAAAATAAAAGTAAATACACCTCGTATAGTCTCGGTTAGCAACGAAGAGAAGAAAAACTCTGAATTGAAATCGACCTGGAGAGGGTTGAGCCTTGTTAGACTATCTTGCCCAGTAAGCTCGACTGCTATTGAGGTTACTGTACGTGTAGTGCCCCTACGAGCATAATGGGTCACTGGACTTGTGTTAATCTTAGTTGCTGTTTCTGGGAGGGGAGCGTATAACCTACCATGGATAACAGTTTGAACAACGGCATTACGTTTAAACGCTCGGTCACGATGACGTGTGAGTTCCGTTTAATCTAGGCTTGTTTCTGCTTCTTACAACCATATATTGTGTTTACTTAAAATTGATTTTTGGTTTTTCAAATGGTGAGAGGCTGTTTTTTTTTTTTGTTTGTTTTTGCTGGGAGGTTTTAAGGAAAATCATTCTCCCGTTTCTTTCCCCATCGATATTACCCCATATCTTCATAAAATCATAGACAGAAGGCAGAAAAAAAAAGATGGAAACGAGAAAATAAATAAGCAACAATAACAACACCAAAAAGTGTGCGTGCGTGGAGGGTGGGGAGAATGAAAAAGTAGTTTCTGCACAGAAAGCGAAACGAATCGGTCAAGTTCAAAACAAGATAAACAATTCAGATGTGATTTTTTTTTTTTTTTTTTTACAAAGCTTTAATTAAATTTTCATAGACAAACAGTGTGCAGCAAACGATTTACAGTAGAATCCAATGCTCGAGGTCACGGTGACCCGGTGAACAGCACCATGAAACTCATTGTTGGCTAATTTGATAATATATATATATATATATATATATATATATATATATATACGGAATAAATATAGCTAGAACAATTACGACTGAGTTCCTCACTTGGCGTCCCATACTTTAAGCCTTGAGGCACATCTAACATACACTTGGAAAAATCATGAAATATATATATATATATATATATATATATATATGTATGTGTGTGTTTGTGTGTCTGTATATGTGTGTATGTGTGAGTGAATGTATATATATTTCTGCGTGTGAGAGTCTGTATACATATATGTGTGTGTATATGTATGTGTGTTTGTGTATTTGTATGTGTGTATGCATATATATGTGTGCATGTATATATATGTGTGTGTGCGTGTATATATATATGTGCGTATATATATATATGTATGTATATATATATATGTATACACCCACTCACTCTCACATATATATGTGTGTATATATAAATATGTGTGTGTATAAATATATATATATATATATATATGTGTGTGAATATATATGTGTTTTGTGTATATATACATGTGTGTGCGTATATATATATATATATATGTCTGTGTGTGTGTGTGTATATATATATATATGTACATATATATATATATATATATATATATATATATATATATATATATATAAGATAATTCTAAGGACCTAGGCAAACCAATCTAGGTTTCACCTAAACGGATCTTCAGAGTAATGATTAATTTTTCCTCGGGTACCGATTTGTACTATCACTTATATATATATATATATATATATATATATATATATATATATATATATATAAATGCCCCTCCTCCACATATATTCAATATATCAGCGGTTTTAAAATGAGAATAAGATACGATTCCAATATAAATGACTGCAGGGAATGTGGTTTTTATTACTCTAAATATTGTGAGCGTGGACTTTTAAGATAGACATTCATTTACACATAAATATACTTGGGTAAGGCATAAATCCTTCTACTCATCCCCATTTAACCGTTTATGGGTTAAATAGTACGACTATATTATCTGGAATATATTCTTCTTCTCAAAAATAGTTAATGCATTATTACTTACAAATTAAGAATTATTCCTACAATACAAAATTTTCGGCTTTAAATAACCCACAAAGTGTTGATAAACCGAAAAAAAAAATTGTTAATTCAATATTCATTCCCCAACCGCCACACACACAACAATAAAAATATATTTACAATCCAAACTTTTTCAGCTTTAAGAAAATAAGAAAAATAAATATGTAATAGGGTTACATTTCTCTCTCTCTCTCTCTCTCTCTCTCTCTCTATCTATCTATCTATCTATCTATCTATATATATATATATATATATATATATATATATATATATAATTATTTATTCGAAAATTATAACATAAATATGTTATAAAATCACTACAGAAATAGCCATTTTGTTTCAACACTTCCGGTGTCTTATCAAGTGATGGTGTTGAATGTAAAATAAAGTGTTTTACCCCTTGATTCTACATTCAACGCCATCACTTGATAACACACACGTGATCAGGTGATAATAACAACAAAGATGAGGATATTAGTCTGAATGTAAATAATGATAATTCCTCATCCCAGGAATTCAGACACAAGGCGATCAGGTGATAGTAACAACAAAGATAAGGATATTAGTCTGAATGTAAATAATGATAACTCCCCATCCCAGAAATTCAGACAGAAGGCGATCAGATGATAATAACAACAAAGATGAGGATATTAGTCTGAATGTAAATAATGATAACTCCCCATTCCAGAAACTCAGATTGAAAGCAAGCACGTGATAATAATAATAACAATGATGAAGATATTAGTCTAAATCTAAAAACTTGATTACTTCCCATCCCAGAAATTCAGGCGTAAGGCGATAAATTGATAATAACAAAGATAAGGACATTAGTCTGAATAGAAATAATTGAAATAATGATGACGCCTCATCTTCGAAATGCAGACAGAAATTTATATCAGTTTATTGAAAATCTTCTGGCAATCTGTTGTTAAAAAAGATCATTTTCATTTTGCGGAAACCTATCCATAAATTCTGACAGCTCGAGAATGAAATGAACGCTTCTTAGATATTAAAAAAAAAAACTATTGTCTCTTATAATTAAAATTACTTGAAAAAGAAAATTTGGAAATTCCATGGTGTCTATTCCCGAAATTATCGAGACGTTCAGAAATTTTAATAACAGCAACAATATTTATTTATTTATTGCCAGGCACTAGTAAGTTTAGGCAAAAATACATTACCACTGTAAGGATACAAAAGGCGATTGTCTCCCTTTGGTGGAGGTATGCTACGACGGTCATATGATGGCCGCTTAATGACGTCACTTAATACTGTGAAAATAACTTGTGAAATTTCGCTTGTTTGACAGCCTTAACCTGAAATGATGCTTTCTCTCCGCCCCCTGGCCTGGGCATAGGCTAAATGAGATTTCAAGTCCATGGTGCCGTTTTCCTTTGGGAACATCTCTTTCCCAGATTTACACTAAAACTCCAGCTCGCAGTTCTCAATTTGTGAAAACCAAAGACACACTGTTTCCCCGTCGTGGAATATGTCCTCGACTGGGACATAGATGAATCCGGAATAATCTTAAAATGGCTTCTCCAGATACAGAAGTATCTTCATTTCATATGTAAGACCCATCTTTTTATTTCTCCTTACACTTTGCTGATATATGATTCTCCGCGTGAGGCATTATATATATATATATATATATATATATATATATATATATATATATATATATATATATATATATATGTGTGTGTGTGTATATATATATATATATATAAAAGGAGAAAATTCAAACAATTATTTTAAGACATTTTTAAAAAAAAAATATTTTATAGGTTAAGAGCATATCAGGCTAAATGACGGTTCCGTATAGGATAAAGGTTCGATTCGCGTTGGAGGACGAATATTTTCTATGAAAATTTCTCGGACATTCAGGCCGGTAAATATCGTTAATACTGTTTATCATAAAACAGAGCATTTACTTAGATATTTGTATCTATAAAAAGAATGTATAAACAGAAAAAAATGTCTTATATATATATATATATATATATATATATATATATATATATATATATGTGTGTGTGTGTGTGCGGTACTTATTAGAAAGCGCTAAGTGTCCCAGAGATAGAGCTAACATATTTGGTTGGATTGATGTGAGTTTGTGACCCTGATTTTCACGCTAAGAAACCCAGGGTCACAAACTCACATCAATCCAACCAAATAAATATGTATATATATATATATATATATATATATATATATATCGTGCATCTCTTACTAATATAAAGTCTCTCTAAGAACAAAGTATGTTTGCCATTCGTTTTCCTTTCAATCATTTCATTCTGTTCGCGTACTATGGTGTTCTTACATCACGAATATAGTAAATGGAAATAAATCTTTCAACCAGTCTCTCTCTCTCTCTCTCTCTCTCTCTCTCTCTCTCTCTCTCTTTACACCACTTTGTGGTAGGATTTTACGCTATTGCTATGAGTGGTGTCGTCGGCATGCGTCGAGAGACGATGAAGTAGCGCGATGGACAACTAGGGCTGCCCAGACGTCTAGGGAGATGGAGAGGATTCACACCTTTCCCAAGGGTATTAGCACGTAAGTGAATGTAATGGATTCGAGTGGAATAAAACTCAGCTCTCCGATTCCCCAATCCAAGCCGCTATCCATTACTCCACCATGTCTTCTCGTGTACGTTGCATAATAAATATGTATGTGACCGGGAACATTTTCCGCAAACGTTATTGGCGGACTCATGTGAGTCCGGGTAAAAATATTTACTACAAAACAATGGATATAAAGCAAACAACAATGGATGCTATTCATAAAAAAAAGAATTAGATGTGTACACAACTGAAATGAAAATGAAAGACAGTGAAACTAGCTATAAGAATGAACGTGTGTGTGTATGTGTGTGAGTGTGACTATGATAGCCATGTGTGTACATGTGCGTGAGTTCAAAAGTTAACAGAGGAGCAAGGAAGCGAACGCGCCCCATCGGCAGTGTTCTTATTCTACGTTCGAATATATTTGGACGCAAGAGTTAAAAGCGATAGAGAATATGATTGCTTTTTATAGACTTAAAGAGCGCTCCCTATCATGCGTTTAATCAAAGCCAAGTGGGGTAACCCAATAATTCATCTTTTGAACAATGTTAGCGAAATCTTAGAAGTGTATTTTAAGTGTTTGTTTGGATTTTTCCATTGGTTCTCCAGATCAGTCAAAGAAAACAATCATAGCTAAATTTAAGATAGTCATGTTCAACATCTCATCGTCAACGGAATACGGTGAAGAAAAAGTTACTGATAAGTTTCTAAAATTAGAGAAAATATCTAATTGATAAGCGCATACATTTTTACTCAGTGCCACATGTTTTTTTTGTTTTTTTTTTGTTTTTTTTTTCCTGATTTATGTCGGGCCAAATAGACCAAAATAAACCATGAATAATAAACCTAAAAGAAAGGACCGTTTTAGCATTAACAATATGTACTGATTACTTGTTGATCGATTCATTTTCAGGGATTATCAACCCTTTGCAGGTTATTTAAAACTAGCAGTAGAGCCCGGCGTTGCCCGGGGATGTAACAGTAAGAGATAGATCAAGTATCGACCATCATAAAGACTGAAAAATAAAATTGACAAAGATTATTGTTTAAGGTTGACGGACACGCATGTCTTAATTAGTTTCTTTTTTTTGGTGGAGGGTTACGAATTGGTCAAACCCAAATTCAAACAAAAACATTGTTTTCAATCGTTATGAGTCTACCGATTGAATAGAATTTTATTATAAACAATTTTCTTGTAAATGGAATTTTAAAGCATTCTGAATGTAAAAATAAAGAAAAAAAGTGTACAAGACAATAAGAAACACTACCTGCCAAAAAAAAAATGAAGTTTTGTTGAAATCAGTTTGAAAAATGTAGGAAATCCGATCCCATATATAAACGAACACAAACATACAAACAACCTGGGTTTTATAAGTATAACTCGATATGAGTTGTCCCCCTTTCATTCCGGTGACAGAATCGTGTTTTCAAATTAATTTCGTGCGAAAACAATTGTGTTTTTCCAATTTTTGGCGCTGTCAGAACCACCGCAAGGTAATTTTACGCAGTTCTGTGAAGTTTTGTTAAAATCGGTTGAAAAATGTAGGAAATCCGATCCAATATATAAACGTAGACACACACACACACACACACACACACACACACACACACACACACAATCTGCGTTTTATAATAAGTAAGATTATGTCTACATATTTTCATGTGTCTCACGCAGAGAAAAATATAGCATATTAGCACAGCAAGCAGAGTGAAAAGATAAAGAAAAGATGGACATTACATATAATATGGACTTTCTTCTGTGTTTCTGAAAAAGCCATGTTTAGGACTCCAGATTCGAGCGGGCCGCATATATCTACTATGTCCCAAGAGAGAACATATTCCTCGAACAGTCTTAGCTTTTCAAAAATTGTGTACTGCTAGACGGAGATAGTTTCTTTCTATATCTGGGGAAACGGTGCCACTGATCCTTGGCCCAGCCGAAAAAAGAACTGCCCGGTTTGACTGCTGTAAACCGACTGAAATTGCCTGCCACATTTGTGACGGTATGAACTGACGTTACTCAACGGCCGTCACTTGAGCCACGTGGCTTATCTCGACTAAAAGGAGATAATCGGATTGTGTTTCTCTATATATATGGCAGTCTATATCAAAGACAATTCTCCTTTGATTAGCATGAATTAACATATTAATAGATCCGGGGGTGATAGTAAAGAATTTTCTATGAGAAAAGGTTTTTTTTTTTAGTTTTTCAAGGATCGGGTCTTGTTTGGTCTTGTCTTGTCTTGTCTTGTCTTGTCTTCGCACGTTGGGAGCGCTCGTCTCAACTGAGACCAAAAAACAAGACAAAAACTGGTGATAATTAGCTTTCCCAGTCCCAGACCCATGCTGACTATTGGCTAATACCTGCCCCGTATCGTGTATATGCAAATTGTCAGCGCCACCTACTCTAAGTAGAAGGTCTTCTCTCAACAGCCCATTGTGGAAGAGGACGCAACTCCTGCTGCTTATATAGCTCTCCCAGTGCCAGACCCACGCTGATTATTGGCTAATACCTGCCCCATATCGTTCATATGTAAATAGTCAGCGCCACCTACTCTAAGTAGAAGGTCTTCTCTCAACAGACCATTAATGCAAGAGGACGCAACTCCTGCTGCTTATATAGCTCTCCCACCCCAGACCCACGCTGACTATTGTTCATATGCAGCGCCACCTGCCTAATAACAGACCCCCTGTATCGTTCATATGTAATAGTCAGCGCCACCTACTCTAAGTAGAAGGTCTTCTCTCAACAGCCCATTGTGGAAGGGGACGCAACTTCTGCTGCTTATATAGCTTTCCCAGTGCCAGACCCATGCTGACTATTGGCTAATACCTGCCCCGTATCATTCATATGTAAATAGTCAGCGCCACCTACTCTAAGTAGAAGGTCTTCTCTCAACAGACCATTGTGGAAGGGGACGCAACTCCTGCTGCTTATATAGCTTTCCCAGTGCCAGACCCACGCTGACTATTGGCTAATACCTGCCCCGTATCGTTCATATGTAAATAGTCAGCGCCACCTACTCTAAGTAGAAGGTCTTCTCTCAACAGACCATTGTGGAAGGGACGCAACTCCTGCTGTATATAGCTCTCCCACACCCAAACCCACGCTGACTATTGGCTAATACCTGCCCCGTATCGTTCATATGTAAATAGTCAGCGCCACATACTCTAAGTAGAAGGTCTTCTCTCAACAGCCCATTGTGGAAGAGGACGCAACTCCTGCTGCTTATATAGCTCTCCCACACCCAAACCCACGCTGACTATTGGCTAATACCTGCCCCCCAAACCCACGTATCGTTCATATGTAAATAGTCAGCGCCACCTACTCTAAGTAGAAGGTCTTCTCTCAACAGACCATTGTGGAAGGGGACGCAACTCCTGCTGCTTATATAGCTCTCCCACACCCAAACCCACGCTGACTATTGGCTAATACCTGCCCCGTATCGTTCATCGTTCAGCGCCACCTTATTCTCTCAACAAATTGTCAGCGCCACCTACCTCCCGTAAGTCAGAAGGTCTTCTCTCAACAGACCATTGTGGAAGGGGACGCAACTCCTGCTGCTTATATAGCTCTCCCACACCCCAAACCCACGCTGACTATTGGCTAATACCTGCCCCATATCGTTCATATGTAAATAGTCAGCGCCACCTACCAGCTAAGTAGAAGGTCTTCTCTCAACAGACCATTGTGGAAGGGGACGCAACTCCTGCTGCTTATATAGCTCTCCCACACCCAAACCCACGCTGACTATTGGCTAATACCTGCCCCGTATCGTTCATATGTAAATAGTCAGCGCCACCTACTCTAAGTAGAAGGTCTTCTCTCAACAGACCATTGTGGAAGGGGACGCAACTCCTGCTGCTTATATAGCTCTCCCACACCCAAAACCCACGCTGACTATTGGCTAATACCTGCCCCGTATCGTTCATATGTAAATAGTCAGCGCCACCTACTCTAAGTAGAAAGGTCTTCTCTCAACAGACCATTGTGGAAGGGACGCAACTCCTGCTGCTTATATAGCTTTCCCAGTGCCAGACCCATGCTGACTATTGGCCCTGCCCCGTATGTTCAGACCCATAGCTTCTCTCAACAGACCATTGGCTAATCCTGCTGTATATAGCTCTCCCCCCAAACCCACGCTGACGTTCTAATATGTAAATAGTCAGCGCCACATACATACTCTAAGTAGAAGGTCTTCTCTCAACAGCCCATTGTGGAAGAGGACGCAACTCCTGCTGCTTATATAGCTCTCCCACACCCAAACCCACGCTGACTATTGGCTAATACCTGCCCCGTATCGTTCATATGTAAATAGTCAGCGCCACCTACTCTAAGTAGAAGGTCTTCTCTCAACAGCCCATTGTGGAAGGGGACGCAACTCCTGCTGCTTATATAGCTTTCCCACACCCAAACCCACGCTGACTATTGGCTAATACCTGCCCCGTATCGTTCATATGTAAATAGTCAGCGCCACCTACTCTAAGTAGAAGGTCTTCTCTCAACAGACCATTGTGGAAGGGGACGCAACTTCTGCTGCTTACAGCACCACATACAACCAACTTGGAGTCTTTTATTTGGCTGACCTGATTCTCTGTTGCAGGCTGAACATTAGTTTGAAGTTTTTTCCTATAGGAATACCGACAATAGTTGCGCATGCCCGACGAACGTCGGCCGTTACTCTCTGTATATATTCTAGTGAAGAGATAGATGAAATTTAGTTTAATTCACTATTTCCTTTTGTGAAAATCACTTTCATAAAACCTGTCAGGTCACATTACGGAAAGGTTTCTCAAACATTTTAAAAATCGTTATTAAATGTAATTAAAATTACCATACTTAGACAGCAATGAGTTTGTTTTTTATCCCAGCCACGAAAACCTTTGAATTTCGAGTCGATTTGTCAGAAGAAAGTATTCCTTTTTTTTTTAGGGTGTATGTTGTGTTTCATTTGGTGTAGTGAGATGCAAGAATATTTCTTCGCCATTTGTAAATTTCTGATTCTTTGTCATTCGTTTTTTTTTGTTTGTTTCCTTCATTTTTTTGTTTGTTTTTTTATCCCTATTTCATGTTTCTCTTTTGCATTCATCTTCTCTTTCTTCGCCTCTTCTTCCTTGTTTAATTTGCTTTCTTTCCTTCTTTGTTTCTTGTTTGCTTGTTACGTTCTTTTTTCTTTTTCTCTTCTTTCAACCTGTCTTCTTCGTCTTCTTCCATCACTCATCATCATCACTATTATAAACTTCTTTTTCGTTTGCCTTTTCTCTACTGTCCTTCTTCTCCCTTTTCTTCTTCTTTTGTCTTTCCAATGCTCTTGATCTTCTTAGTATTCTTTCTTCTTCATCTTCTTTTTCATCGACGTCCTTTTCTTTATCTTGTTTTGTCATTCTTCTGAAATTGCTTTACTTCTTTTTCTTTTGTTTTCTTCTTGCTCTTCTTCTTCACCTTTTCTTTTTCTTCTTCTTCACCTTTCTAATTCCTCTACACTTTCTTCTTCCTTTTCTTCTTCTTTTACTTTTTCTTCACTTTTTCTTTTTCTTCTTCACCTTTCTTCTTTTTTTTTCTTTTCTTCCTCTTTTTTCTTTTCCTTCTTCACCTTTCTTTTTCACTTTCTTTTTCTTTTTCTCTTTTTTCACTTCCTTTTTACCTTTCTTCTTCTTTAACTTCTTTTTCTTCTCTATCTTCTTTTTCTTTTTAACCTTTCTTCTTCTTTTTCTTTTTCTTCTTCTTTTTCTTCGTCTTCACTTTCTTCTTCTTCTTCTTCTTTTTCTTCTTCTCCTTCTTTTACTTCCTTTTTACCTTTCTTCTTCTTTTACTTCTTTTTCTTCTCTATCTTCTTTTTCTTCTTAACCTTTCTTCTTTTTCTTTTTCTTCTTCTTTTACTTCGTCTTCACTTTCTTCTCTATCTTCTTTTTCTTTTTCACCTTTCTTCTTTTTCTTTTTCTTCTTCTTTTTCTTTGTCTTCACTTTCTTCTCTATCTTCTTTTTCTTCTTCTTCTTCTCCTTTCTTAATTCCTCTTCAGCTTTCTTCTTTTTCACTTTTTCTTCCTCCTCTTCTTTTAATTTTTCTTCAACTTTCTTCTTCTTCTCTTTCTCTTACTTCTTCTTTACCATTCTTCTTCTTTTTCTTTCTTCATCCTCTTCACTTTCTTCTTCTTCTTTTGCTTCTTCTTCACATTTCTTCTTCTCCTTCTTCACCTTTCTTATTCCTCTTCACTTTCTTTTTCTTCTTCTTTTACTTTTTCTTCATTTTCTTTTTCTTGTCAAACATTTTCTATAATATAACCCACTCATACCGGTTATAGAATTATTATTATTGCTTAGGCTACTCGCCGTGAAGTCACTAGAATTCTTTTCGACTGATTCCAACGGACTATTATTTATTTTTGGCAAACAAAAATAAAGGTAAAATTATGGCAAAAAACCAAAAGTGGATATGAGGAATGCTGGTCATCATCTGTTTTATCTTAAACTTAACCAGCCACAATCAATGACCCAAATAAACTATACAATATTCCTTGCATGAAAATATCACATTCTTAATTATCACTCTTATTACAATCACCATAATACCTCAGAGTCTCTATGAAGTCTTAACTAGTTACCTATATGTACAATTTGTCTATGGAGAATGGAGAATAGAATAACAACATTTAAAAATGAAAACTCCAATAAATATTTACAATATCCATAATACTATATATAGATGAAACTTAACAAAATGGTGTTAATAATAAAAAATAACAACTTTAAAGAATTCATAGCCTGTTATGATGTTGATTTGTGGTTAGTAGAGACAAACGCCAAATAACACGTAACAATAAAAAGGGTTTTAATAGGTTGGTAAAAAGGTACAGAAATCGCCTGAGTAGTCAATAACTAGCTCAGCTAAGAATGTCTATCTATCTTCCCCATGTCAACTGACATGCCACTATTTAAAGTCTTTGTTCACAGACGCAGACAAGTTCATCTTCAAGAGGGGTGGTAGGTTTCTGACACAACATAACCCAATGAATATTTACAATGAAAACATGATCTATTTACAAGAAACAAAATAGTGTCAGTAATATCCCACCACACACACAGACCTTAAAAGTGGCAGAACCATAAGTTAACTGAACGAAATTAATGCAGGACTTCAAGAATTCAACCACTCATTTAACCAAACATTCACTCATTCAAACACGCACAATCCATACAAAAATCACTTGACAAAATAAATGGTGTGCCAAGGAGAACTGACACCTCTGGTCACCTAACGAGGGAAGGGGAATTAGAAAGTGTGGCTAAAAATAAATGGGTCTAAGGAGCAAATATTTATTTGATTAATGATATTTATTTTTGTATAAATACAAAAAATGTGGCACTAGGCCAAAAATGGGGAAGGCTTGTCATCATTTGTCTTAAACTTAACTAGCCACAATCAATGACCCAAATAAACTATACAATATTCCATCACATTCTTACTTGCCATTCTTATTACAATCACCATAATACCTCAAAGTCTCTATGAAGTCTTAACCTGTACCCATATGTACAATTTGTCTTATCATTCCAGCAACATCACACACAGCTACACAATCATTCAGACAGGATAACAATTAGGAAAGAACACACACAAAAAACGAAGAGCCAAGCATCCACCAGAGAAGTGACATTTCTGATCATCTAACTGGGGAGGAGGAGGGGAGTTAAACTAAAGAAAGTGGGGACAAAATTAAAAGGGGTTAATGAGCGTATAACCTTAGCAATATTGGCAGGAAAAATTAAAAAAAAACAAATACTTTTTGTAATTCTTTTTCTTTTCTATCATCTTTCTATTTCTTCTTCTTCTTCTCCTTCTTCTTCACTATTCTCCTCCTCCTTTTCTTCTCTATCTTCTTCTTCTTCTTCTTCTTCTTTTTCTTCCTCCTTTTTCTTCACTATTCTCCTCCTCCTTTTCTTCTCTATCTTCTTCTTCTTCTTCTTCTTCTTTTTCTTCCTCCTTTTTCTTCACTATTCTCCTCCTCCTTTTCTTCTCTATCTTCTTCTTCTTCTTCTTCTACTTTTTCTTCCTCCTTTTTCTTCACTATTCTCCTCCTCCTTTTCTTCTCTATCTTCTTCTTCTTCTTCTTCTTCTTTTCTTCCTCCTTTTTCTTCACTATTCTCTCCTCCTCCTTTTTCTTCTCTATCTTCTTCTTCTTCTTCTTCTACTTTTTCCTCCTTTTTTCTTCACTATTCTCCTCCTCCTTTTCTTCTCTATCTTCTTCTTCTTCTTCTTCTACTTTTTCTTCCTCCTTTTCTTCACTATTCTCCTCCTCCTTTTCTTCTCTTCTTCTTCTTCTTCTTCTTTTCTTCCTCCTTTTCTTCACTATTCTCCTCCTCCTTTTCTTCTCTATCTTCTTCTTCTTCTTCTTCTACTTTTTCTTCCTCCTTTTTCTTCACTATTCTCCTCCTCCTTTTCTTCTCTATCTTCTTCTTCTTCTTCTTCTACTTTTTCTTCCTCCTTTTTCTTCACTATTCTCCTCCTCCTTTTCTTCTCTATCTTCTTTTTCTTCTTCTTCTTCTTTTTCTTCCTCCTTTTTCTTCACCATTCTCCTCCTCCTTTTCTTCTCTATCTTCTTTTTCTTCTTCTTCTTCTTTTTCTTCCTCCTTTTTCTTCACTATCTTCTTCTTCTGCTCCTCCTCCTTTTTTCTATTCTTTATTTTCTTCTTCTTCTTTTTCTTCACTCTCCTCCTCCTCCTTTTTCTTCACTATTCTCCTCTTCCTTTTCTTCTCTATCTTCTTCTTCTTCTTCTTCGTTTTTCTCCTCTTCCTTTTTTCTGTATCTTCTTCTTCTTAACTTTTCTCATCCGCCTTCTTTTTCTTCTCCTCCTTTTTGTTCTCTATCTTCTTTATTTTTATTCTTCTTTTCCACCTTTCTTCTTCGTCTTCTTCTTCTTCTTCTTCTTCTTCGTCGTCGTCGTCTTCTTCTTCCTCTTCAATTTTCTCCTCCTTTTCTTCTCTATCTTCTTCTTCTGTTGCTCTTATTGTTTTCTTCCTTTTTTGTTTGTCTCCTTCGTTACATACACTCAAGTTTTTCTTTCTTTTCTTTTCTACTTTTCCTTCATCTCTTTTTTTTTCTTCATTTATTACATTTTTCTATTCTCTTTCCGTCTCTCCTTAACATTTTCGCTTTTCTTTCTTCTTTCTTTAATCCTTGCCTTTTTTTCCTTTCCTGAATTCATTATTCCCTTTCGTCACTCCTCAAAACGTCATCTTCTCCTACACCTCTTCTCCCCTTCCGCCTACCATTCCTCTTCCCGTCTCCGTCCGTCTCTTCTTACATCTGATCCATCTACACCCATCCTCTTCTTCAGGTCACCCTCCTCCTCCTTCGTCTCTTTCTAACGCTACCAGTTTGGTGATTCAATAAGCGTAGCTATAACATAGTTACACCGAGATTTGAAGTCTTGCTTATTAAAATAGTCGCTTCGCTTCCATCTGGAAGATCGTCGTCCAATTTCGCAGACATCTTTCCGACATTTTCCTTTTATCTTTTTACATCAGTCTTTTTTCTTGTAATTCGTCATCATCATTAGCAGCTGTAGCATTAACAACATCGACATTTTCTTCATAATTTTCTCCTTCAGTTTTAAAATGTTCTCTTTGTTTTCTGTTTTCCTTCATTTTCCAACCTTTCTGTTTCCTTCTTCGGATTCATTCTTTATTCTTCTTCTGCTTATTTTTCTTTTTCACTTTCTTCTTCTCCTTCTTTTTCTCCGTCTCCTTCTTTTTTTCTCCTTCTTTTTCCAATTATTATAATTTTTTATTATTAGTTGACTATTCAAAGCTTGGCTTTTATCATTAAGATCAACGCCTATTTCCTCTGCTGGCCCAAATACTTCAGTTGGGAGAGCGTTAGACTGAATATCCAAAGGTCCCTCCGAGTTTGAATTCCAGTCGAATCCAGTATATTCCCTTACGTGCTCATATCCTTCGGAAAGATATGACTCCTCTTCTTCTCCCACCGGCTACGGGTAAATAGTAGGACAGACCGGGTTCTATAGCCTTGGATGGCAACTGGTCTACAGCAGAAATAAATGGCAGCCTTCTACGGAAAAAAATCTGCCTCGTCAGTCATGTATCGAAAGATACATGATCGCCTAAGCATGTATTTCGCACGGCACATAACTGACTAAAATTCACTTCCGTGTAAAAATACCCTTGGGAAAGATATGAATCCTCATCTTCCCCCCCCCCAGCTATGGGTAAATAACAAGAGAGACCGTGTTCTATAGCTTTGGATGGCAGCTGGTCTACCGCAGAAAGAAATGACAACCTACTGCGTGAAAAAATCCACCTTGTCAGTCATGTATCGAAAGATACATGATCGCCTAAGAGTGTATGGCACTTAACTGACGGAAATTCACTTACGTGTTAATACCCTTCGGAAAAGTAAGAATCCTCTTCTATTCCCCCCAGCTATGGGTAAATAGCAGGACAGGCTGGGTTCTATAGCTTTGGATGGCAACTTGTCTACCGCAAAAAAAAAATGGCAACCCACTGCGGGAAAGAATCTACCTTGTCAGTCATGTATTGAAAGATACATGATCGCCTAAGTGTGTATCCCTCATTGCACATAACTGACTGAAATTCACTTACATGCTAATACCCTCCGGAAAAGTATAAATACTCTTCTATTCCCCCCAGCTATGGGTAAATAACAGGACAGGCTGGGTTTTATAGCTTTGGATGGCAACTGGTCTACTGCAGAAAGAAATGGCAACCTACTGCAGGAAAAAAAATTTGAAATGTCAGTCATGTATCAAAAGATACATGATCACCTAAGCGTGTATTTCACATGGCATATAACTGACTGAGAGCCCGG